CTTTTATATCTTTTCCGAAAAAGGCCGATTTTTCTTTTACATCGCAGTTCTTTTCAGAGACGAATAAAAAAAGCATAGTTTCTAAAAGAACATGAGTGATATTTCCAAAAGAAAAAAACTTCATATGGCTTCACTTTAAAAAACATTTATTTAACCGAGTTAAAGACTGATTGTCGAACTTTACGCGTGGCTGGGATGGCAGTAGCAAGTGGAATGACGTGGCTTATGATGGAAGGTTGTAGAGGACACTCTTGTAAGTCCCCTCCCCCCCCCAAATCGCGACCACACTTCTTCAACCCTGTCGGAATAGCACGCACTTCAAAAATGGTCCGGATAAATTTTACCCAGGTGTGATAGTCTAGAATTAAAACACATAATCTTCGTGACGATAGCTATGTATGATCTACAAGTAATGATATTGGCCAGTAAGAGAGGATATGTATCGTAAGAAGAGACAAAGCTGAAAAAAATTGATAATTTAAAATTTCGGTTTTTTTTCTTCCTTTTTAAATAAATATATATATTTCAACAACGCCTTTTCTATTTCTATTTTTTATAATAGTCTTGCAGAAATTTTATTGTAAAAAATTACTAGCCGCGGCATAAGAAATAAAAGCGACATTTTTCGAAGACGTCAATGTATTTAACAAGCGACGCGCTCTAACAATAAGTACATTTAATGTTACAAAGGCGATTCTATCGGCGGGACGGTCGTAACGGTACTATGGGCTGGCCTATTCGTTTTCTTGCGCCTTCTAAAAGGTTGCAGAGCGACAATGCGCATGTAGCTCAATTGTCGCTCCCTTTGATGCTCCTCCACACTGATCTTGTTCAGCAGATAGGGACCGCTAGACATCATGCCGATTGCCCCGAGTGGCGCTAGAAACACTATGGCAATTACGGATATCCGGACCACATCGAGGGCTAATTCTATTTTCGTGGGGTCGCCTTCTTTTCTGGCACGCTCAAATGCCATCGGCGCTAATGCTGCCTAATTTCCAAAATATCGACACACAGTCATCGAATTGTTAATTTCGTTGGATTTTCGACAGAGAATTTGTATAACGAAAAGAACAGTTTTGCTGAAGCAGCTCAAGCTAGTTACAGATTTAAAAAGAATTGTGTTAGATTGTATAATTAAATAATTATTGAATATTCATCAAACTGCAGGTTACTCTCCGAAGCAAAATAAGACGTCCGATAACATTCAATGAAATAACACTAATTGTAAGATAAATCGTGACTAATCAAAAAATGGCTTTTAATAATTATTTGGAGTCATTTTGATGCGATTTTATGGATATTATAATAATATCGTTTTATTTGGCTGGAATGTCAAAACTTTTTGCAACATCATCATGTTTGAGCAACCTACATATTTATTTTCAAATTTCTATCTGGTTTAATTTTTACATACTTTAGCAAAACTGTTTTTTTCATAAATGAAAATAACCTATTTTCAATGAACCTGTAAAGTTCCTTTCGGTATCCAAGATATGGCGATAAATAGTCGTTCTTTCCATGTAAAAGGCATTCGGATCGTCGTTAAAAAGGCGGTAGAACTGCGCACCTAAACTTGGAAAATAGAATTTTATATAGTGTTGTTTATAAAAATATATTATTTATGACATAGATAGTACGGCAAAAAGGCATTTATTATTGCCAGAAAATTAATCTTTAAGTTTTATTTTAAAGTAAAGTTAAATAAAATATATATATACAAAGTTATATTTCACAATATAAAGTTACAAGTTACATTTTTTCTCTCTCTTTCTCTCTATTTGAATTTTTAAAACTGACGTATTTCTCATGTCTTGCTCGATAACTTACAGATATTCCTATAAGTACACAAGCGAAGTAAAGTCCGAATCTGGACATAGCCCAGTTTCTAAAGTCAATATCGGCACCAATCACGCCTCCTAAAATCGGCTGCACGAAATGCCATAGGAAATAAAACGCTCTGTGAAAAGGCGTCGTCTGCAACATAAAACAAAAATAATAAAACTCATTTTTTATATATGAAACTCTAATTTTTAGCAAAGATATGAATTAACATTTTTAATGATTTATGCCGGATCAATATATTTCACGAGATTTGTTATCCACGCCACGGCTCACGCCAGTGGCCCACGGAGTATGATTATTGTATTTGTGAAATAAAATTATAGTGTTTTAATGATTAAAAAACTATAAAAACTAATTATAAACAAAAAGAATCTAATGTATAAAATTCGATACTAAATAGAATAAAAATACTTTTATTAAATATTATTTATTTAATAAAACTAATATTTATCAAAATTGATCGATTTTATATATGGACATGTAAAGTTTTGAACATTTTTCATATGTCTATTTTTTTTAAACATGTATTAATAATTATTAATAAGCATTTTATAATTAAAACGATATATAACAATGTTTTGTGTTAAAAAAAGAAATATAAATATGATTTGTTAAGTTTTTACACATTTTTGCAATACTTACAGCCAAAATTTTCTTGTAACTGTGTGACTATCTTAACATTTTTATATCAATTTTTATATGAAGCAAGAAATTAAAGATTAATCTATTTTTATTAACTATTAAAAATAGTAATGGTATTTTTTATTTTAAATTGAAAAAGTGATTACAGGTCCGCGTGGATTAACAATGATCCACTAATAATTGCATTACATCATTATTATGTGTTCACATGATATCAGAAAGTATTTCATGATTATGTTTCCTTTTATAGTCAGAAAATCTGAAACGGTCTGTATGGAAAGTGCATTACGGGTCACCACCCAGGTAGAGTACAGAAGTCATAATGATGTTATTATATGAAGTCAAATGATATTGTGAAAACGTCATCACGACTTTAATTGTCACTTATAAATAAAAATAAAGTAATAATGACGTTATTACTTTAGTAATAATTTAGTATTAAGTAATAATGACGTCATTATGACACCATTCGACTTCTGTGTTCTATCTATAAGGTAGTGACCGACGCGGAACTAAACGTGTTAATGAGAAAATTCCGAGAAACAAATTCTAACGTATTGTATACTTACGACTGTATATCCACAATCACTTACATCGTACGAAATCGTTAAGATTCGCCATCCACGAACAGCTATAAACGATAGTATAATAGTAGCGAGATATCCTCCACCTGTGACCGCCAGTCTCGAGGCCGCTGTGGTGCACATTAAAGACGCGAGCGCTAGACCGCTAATGCGATACCACGTTGCGTATTTCTGAGGCCCAATACATAAAAGAGAGGTACATACATATGCTTTTAAGGCGTGGCGAATAAATTATGCCGCGGTGGCCGAAGATATTTATTGCAAGTAAGGGAAAGGGGGGCAAATAGTGACCGGATTCTTTCTCTCTCTCCCCTACAAACTAATTTTAAGTTTACAAGATATGATTTTTCACTAAAAAGAATACTTAGCTGCGTGAAGTTGGTACCCCTAAGTACGAATTTTTACAAAATCTATATGGCATTAGATTGTCCACTATTTGTCCATATTTGTCCAATAATAATAATTTTTTGTTCATTCTTGGAAAAAATAAAAAAAAAGTTTTTTTAACGTAAGCACCCCTAAATGCGTTTTTTAAAATTACATACGGGATTTTCCACAATTTGTCCACATTTGTCCATCAATAATCGTTTTTTGTCCACCTTGCTACAAAAATTATAAACAAATAAAAAATTAGAGCAATAATTTTTTCCAAGAGTGGACAAAAAATTGTTATTATTGGACAAATAGTGAACAATCTAATGCCATATAGATTTTGTC